CCCCCGTTTCAGACAACCCCTGCAGCTGGGTTGTGCCAGGCAAACTGTGCAGCCACCCATTTGGTTTGTAATCCAGGGATCAGGGAGGTCAGGGGGAATCTTTTCATTCACTTCAGCAGGCTCTGGAACAGAGCCTGGTGCCCACATTATGCTGTCAAAGGGACTACTTATCAGATGGTTTATTAGTCTACTTTTCCCAGGAACCTTGAAATAACAAATTCTGCCTAGAAATCTGGAACACAAGGAAGCTTCAGGTTAGTAATTTATGTCTCACCAAGAGATAATACGTTATTTTAAAAACAATATATAATAAACTTCTGGTTTTGAACAAGCACATAAATTAAGATAGTGCAAGATTGTAGATTAAGTCATAAAATTTCTGTGCACATTCATTGATTTTCTAATCAAGTTCACAAATGAAAGCAGTTGTTGGATCGTTAGGTCTTTTAACCATGTGTTCAACCCATTTCTCTACTAGCAGCCAACCCCTCCCTCCCCAGCTAAATGCATTGACATCTCCATTAAAAGAAAAGAAAAAAAAAAAAGATTTGTTTTACCAGAACTTCTGGTGCAAAACGCCTTCCACAGGTCGTACAAGGAGTCAGATCCTGACTTTGGGCACCTGTGTAAAATTCAAATCATGCGAGAGTCTCAGTGAGACAATACAGGACAGGGCTGGAGTACAGGGGAATCAACACTTGGAGTGAGCCCTCGCTAAAAGTGTTTTGTTGTCAGAAGGGGACATCTGCAGCCATGTGCCAGGGCTCCCTTTTGCAGAACTACCTGATGTATCTTGCTCTGGTGAAGCACAAGCTCTCCTTTGCTATGACGACGTGCAGCTTTTTGTTTTCCACATGGCTGCTCGGGTATGTCCTTTCACAATGACATGACAGTTGGGTGAGGAGATGATGGAAGAGCACTCAAGCTCATCGCTGCCCAAATTCAGGGAAGGGAGCTGGGAACCAAGAGCAGGAGGCAACCCGCACTCAGGCTGACTCCATTTAATTTGTAAGTCATCAGGAGCTACAGATGCCCACTAATGACACCCGGCAAACTGTTTCAGTTCCAGAAAGTAGCTTCATTCTTAAACAGAACATTTCCATGGCATGCTAAACAGCATTCCCAGATCGCCCTACTTTGTCGATGTCAATTTTTTTTTTTTTTTTTTTTTGGGTTTTAAATCAGTAGTTTTTTAAAAAAAAAGGTTTTTAAATTACTTATGGAAAGTAGCTTCACGCCTCTCACTGGCAGTCACGTATCATTTCAGCGCAGGGATGCTGATTGTATTGAACAAAACCAGCTTTCAGGAAAACTTGAACGATAACAAAGAGCCTTTTATCATGAGACTTGTACCCCTCAGAGGGGAAGACCTCTTGTTGAAGTGTTCCTTACCTGCTCTTGCTGAAACAAAAGAAATCCTTGTCTTGCTGAGCAGAAGCTGATGTGTGACTGCTTTTGTCTCTCACCTTTGCCTTCAGATTTTACCACACTCTGAGGCAGAGTTAAGCTTACTACGGCGTTTCAATGATTACAAGTGTGGAGGAACAAAGCAATTCTGTGACATTTTTGACTCTACTCCCTCTGTTTAAATGTCTTTCCACTTTTGTTCCCACGCAAGGTCTTTTTGGGTGTCTGTGCTTAGTGTGGACTATACTCTTCCTTTAAACATCTTCCTCTGCCTTCCCCATCCCTTTTATTTTGTTCTCATCCCTTCAACATTTTGATCAGTACAGGTACTCACTTGTTCCATTTAACTCCTCTCCTGGCATCCGATTCATCTTAGTGGAATGGTTTCTCAAGTTTCCTCTCCCGCATTGCTATCAGGAGTAGTGCTACAATAGGAGTGATCACCTAGTACCCCGTTACTCAAAAGCTCACAGCTCCACGTTACCGTGCAGCAGCAGTTATGGAATCAGTGATTATGACACAGGCAGGCCCTGCTTAAGCCTCTGAAATGTATGAAAACTAGTACAGGTACCAGGCAAATGGAAATCCTGATGCCTGTTCTAACGTTAGAGATGATTTCCACTGATGTGGTTAACAGAGATTCTTGAACAGTTTGAGAAAACAAAGGCTTAACCTAGATGTGAAACCTGTATTGACACCTTCTGTTTTCTGAGCAGTGATCAACAGACTTGTAGACTGGAATGCCTGTATACTCCTTCCTCCAAAACTGCGTTACTTAATTAAAATGCATTCTAAAAGTCTTCTTCTGATAGAAACTACTTTGAATTGTTTTTGTCCATTGAAAGACCTCACTGGTCCTGCTAGGTTGTCTCCCTCTTGTATTCATTAATCTATTTAAAGAATATTTAAGATCCTTTGAATTTAGCAGTAGTCAAGACACTACTGATGTGTTGGTTACTGTGTTCTTTACCAGTAGGACAGTTAGCTTTTCACTCAAAGGCAGAAGATTGCTCAGTCTGTAGTCCTAAAGACCTAAGCATGAGGTTTTCTCATTAATACAGATTCAGAAAGACCAAATACAAATCCTATTCCTTTCACTCACATGTATGGTCATTAATAACATAACTCAGATGCACAGTACAGGTCAAGGAGACACCAAGCCTAAAGATACCAGCCCTCTGCTCATCTTCAGAAAGTCTTTGCAGCAATTGCAGTAGCTTGTAAGTTTGTATTTCAGTGAAGCCAAACTGAAAGCAAGACTCAAATAATAGCCTTTATCTTCATTTTCCTGAAATACTATCTGTAACATACAGTGTTTTTCTAAGTATCTGCTGGTTTTCTTTGCCACACTACTCCTCAGCCCGAGTACTTTTAGCAAAATTGATTTCAACAGCAACAATAAGGGCCATCCACTACTGCAACTGCAACATTTCTTACAACACATTTTATTTGCTAATGTGAAACTCAGCTCAGGTAAGAGGGGTGTTTACCCACAAAACAGCTTTTCAGACACCTCAGTTTACAAAAGGTTGTAAACATCTTTCATAATAGCACCCAAACAATAAATAACCGACCCAGAAAGGAACTAAGGAGTGGGTAAAAACTCCATGACTTATGGAGGTGTGCTGTATCGAGGCACCATATTTAACCGCCAGTATAAGGGAGAGGAGATGTAAATGGATATGTTGCTTTGTAAACTGAAATAATTTAATACAAGAATCCAATCAGATCAAATCTGTAAGATTCTGTTAATTTGTTGAATACATTCAACAAATATATACATATATAAAACTTTGTCCAGTGATAGCTTGTAAGAAAAATAATTTTTTATAATTTTAGTACATTTTCACTGCAATGAAACATTGCAGCAGTTGCCATGTCACTCATGACAGAATAGACAACACTAATACATTGTTTTATGTAGAACTTAATTTCAGAAAGGATGATAAGTTACTGGTTCTTGTTACAGTAACATCTGAATAACCCCCCTTGTGCATGACTGCCAGAGCTGTGAGTTAGCAGTTCCCTTCCCTTCAAATGAAATTTCAAGGATGTTTCCACAGAACATTCCTCAGCTTCATCAAGACAGCTTCAGGCCTTGAACATTCCTTTTCAGGTTGAGCAACTCTTTTTCTTGCCTTGTCTTCTCCAGTTTGAAGGCTAGCTTGTTGGCTTTCTTCTCCATTCTGCGTTCCTGTGCATATGAATAATTTCAAATTTACAAAATAAGCATAATATGAAAAAGAAACAATTCTAATTAACAGTTCTAGGTCATGCAAACAGCAGCAATCTGGACAATAATATTATTTATGGCACTAATTATAAATGGTCAAATTAATATGTGTACCACCAGGATTATCACCTTTCATTAGCTGAAGCTTTTAATATGCTGGCAATTTCTGTTCCTAAAATAAAACAACTAGTGTTTCATTGTGGGAAATCAGACTTTCCACGTTTCTTTCTGAGAATTTTCACTGTGCATGATCTGAAACATCACAACTGTTTTCTTTTCCTCCCTAGACGATGAAGAAATATAAGTGCTCCTTCTGAAGTTACATAGACAATAGTGACAAGAGTACCAAACAAAAATTTCAATATAGGAAATTACGATGACAAAATTCTGAGGTTCATTTTCTTTCCGGTAGATTTTTTTTTTCTTTAAAGAAGCAATAACTAGCCCTTGCAGACTGGCAAGTTTTCCCCATGAAGCTCAGACACAAGAACAAGTGAGCTTTAGAAGAAGCTCTCAGGACAGAATTTGGCCAACAGGCCATGTTTCTGCAGGTTTCCCTTAACCCGAGGCGCACCTTACCTTGCGCTCCTCTTTCACCGCCTGCTTCCTCGCTCTGCGACCCTCTCTGCTCTCGCCTTTGGCCCGGGGCTGTGTGGATGTTCTGGGCAGGTCGCTGCCGTTGATCAGCTGCATGCGCTCCATCTGCTTGGCAGTAAGACCCTTCTGAGGCAGGACGTGTAGGGGAATTCCTGTCTTCTGGGAAATCTTTATTGGTTTGGGCTAAAAGAGAGAGTGCTGTGTATTAATGGCCCCTAGCTTTCTCCCCAGGAAATGCACATCACGCTGCTTGACCAGTATAAAAACATCAGCTTCAGATTTATCAGCAATAAACTTGTAAGTTTCCTCATACTATTTTCTACCCTCAGAAAGATAACACTTTAATCCTAAAGAGATCAAACACCTCTGTGAGCAGAATCTGTCCTTCCAGAATAAGAAGTTTCTCCCTTTTAACTAAGTATTATTGAAAAAGAACTTAAGTAGGCACTTAATCCTTTAGAAGCTTTCAAGAAAAAGGTTTCCTCTTAAAATCTCATCCATTTGGAACACTGAGCTGTGTTCCGATTACGAGGAATGTCTGGAAGGTTAAAGAACTGGAACAAACTGTTTCAAACTATGTAAGGAAAATAGAAGCTTATTTTCAAGAAAAAAAAAAAAAACAAACTAAAATGTGGTTGTGGCACACAGATTACACAAATGTCTATCATAGAAAACAAGAAACTAAATTCCTTTTCTGCCTAGCTAGTACAGAAATTTTGTACATACTCAATTTTCCTTCTAACAGAGAACAATATATCCAAACCCTTCTTCAGTGAGGAAGTAATACCAGCGGCTAGTATCCTCCCCAGCCCTCTTTTCTGCTCCCTTCTTCTTTCAAATACAGATATCCATTGAGAAAAGAATCACTTTTGTCTCAAGTTTTCCCAGGAGAGTAATAAACGTAATGGTTTTACCTTTGATGGCTCCTTAATAAGCGTTGGGTGATTATATAAGTTTGAGTACGTACCTAGGTCACAAAAAAATTAAAAATAAGTACTGAAGAAAGGCTCACAAATAGAAATCCGGCAAATTTATTATTAATTATACTACTACTTAGTCTTTGAAGATATAGAATTGCAAGAATTAAGTTATCCACACAAAAGCAGTACTTTCTTCTAGGAAGAATTCCTTCTGTTGTGCTCTGGAAGCATAAACCATTTTACCTATAGTACGGTTAGAAAAGTTCTGAGATCATCTATCACTTACTTTGAGATCCCAGGAACAAACAATTCCAAAATACTTACTCAAAATGGATTCGCAATCCCACTTTTCTTTTGGTTCATCAATAACTACAGCCACTACCTCTTCCTTTTCTTCTTCACTTTCTTCATTCACAGCAGAGTCTAAATCTTCACAAGGTTCAAGAGCATCCAATTTCACACAACTTTGAAGAAGTCAAGAGAAGAAAAAAAATAAGGTTCATGTTGTCTTCAAAGTGTGTAATTACATAAACCCAGTCTCCCCTCAGTAAAACCCCAAACTAAAGAAAACTATACCAAATGAAACTTGCAGCAAAATTGTTTCCTTAACTAAGCATCACCAAAACAGCAGCACAAGAGACACAGTCAAAAAAAGAAGTATTTCTGCATTTCAGAAGTATGTGACACACAAAATTTGTGACTGGAGGGCAGAAAAAGAAGAGGATATACTTTTCAGTCTGTAAATAAGGCAGCTCTAGTGGGGATTATGTGCTCTGCTACCATCCAGACATCTTTCACTACAAGGGACACATCAGCATCAGGAGACACAAGGCTTATGTGAGAACGTTTAGCCATTTAACTTTGGGATTACATCATCTGCTCTAAGACCAAGTGAATATACTGTGGAAATGCAGTCTGGCACTGACACAGGGTTGCTCTATCAGCACTGATGTTTGCAGTGTGCTAAACACTGGTACCCATGCAACAGTCACCTGGGCATTTAACACCATATATACACTAGGTATATAGTGGAATCAGCTGCATACCAGCAGGACAGAATACACTTGGCTACAGAGTCTGTTAAAAAAAAAAGTAAAGGTACAGAGACAAACGTGAGTTACACTCAAAAGGGAAAGAAAAAATGCCTCTAGATGTTACAATAAATTCAGTACAATTATACAAAAAGAGCAGCACATGACATGAACCAATAAAATGCCTTCACTTAGTTTTATCATCTCATAAGACTGAAATTCAGTGGCATAAAAAATGGATAACACTCAGACGTAGCTGTTTTTATTGTGGGATGTTATCTTTGGAGGACACGAACTGGAAACAACATACCCAAACTTCCACTATAAACACAGGATCACACAACTACTTATGTGAAGCAGTACTTCTGGGAATACATACTTCTTTGCTTTCTCTTTGTAGTAATCATTCAGGACTTCCTGCAACCGAGCATTGTCTGTGTTAATATAACCTTCTAACTCCACGTTGTCCAAGGCTCCAATTTCATCTTCATCAAACTGTTCAAAAAACTAAAATAAAAAGTGGATATCTGTATTTAGCTCGCATTTGTTGTGCAACATCTTGATAGTTTAAATAAAGATCTACACATTTGCCCCTTTCTCCTCTCCCCTCTCACTCTGCTGAGCAACTGCCAAACACATCTGCAGTAGGATTTCCTCCTTACTGTCAGCATTCTTTCAGCACAGGAATCACAAAGTCATCTTTCAATAACAGATAAATCAGCTTCTGGAAGATGTTTCTTATTCTGATGCATTACCTCAATCCATACATTAAGAAGTCTGTCACTGCTCAGGATGAAACTTACAGGGTATTTCCACTGCTCTGACATCATTTCATGAATGTACAATCAGCACAGAGGGGAGGAAGGGTGAAAGAAATGGGTCTTTACCAGGCACTTGTACATGATTTGCTGTGTCAAATTGAGCCTCTCAGACAAAAGTGTAACACCAGCCATGAATGCTCATTATACTGATTGGAGTAATTTTATTTGACTGTATCAGTGTTAGGCCTTTTAACAGCAATTAGCACTCTGACCTATTAACAAGCCTCTTAACATACACAATATTGATGTGGAATATAAACAAAGAGCAGCTGTTTGATGCCCTGACTACTGAAGGCAGTAAGAATTTACACAGGGATACAGGACACCACCTTATGAGATAAATTAAGAGACAAAGCAGTGTTTAGCACTCTTATGTTTCACAGTTACATTCTTGAGCTGCCTCACCTTCTCAAACCTGTCATCCAACAGGGTTAACTGCTCATTCCTCCTCATTACTGAAGATGTCATAGAATATTCCGTGAAGCGACTCCTGGTTTCCTCTTGCATAAAAAGAAATTCTTTTGTTCGTCCATTAACCTCATCATCTGATAAGGGGCCTTCTGAACCATAGTCTTTATCATCACTGCAACTATCCTTTTCATCACTGTCTTCTTCCACATCTTCCCATTCATCTTCATCCCCGGCATCTGATCCCCTGCACAGCAGTATAGAACAACTATAGAATCATACCTTTCCACAGCTCTGACTAAAGTTGGGTTATCAGAAACAATCTGGCAATTATAGGTTTTATCTATTCTGTCTCATGACTTAAAGGTTACTATTTTCAAGCCACTCAAAGAAAAACAAGTTTAGCAGTAACAGTTGCCAAAGTCTAATGCTACTTTTGTCTGAAAGTTGAAAACATTTCCCGTAACTGTTGGATTACATGTCTCTGCACTGAGAGTGAAGTTATGTTTGCATCCAGCTACACATGCTGTAGCAGAAAAATACTGGCTGCATTCTTGAATATTAAAACCAGTAAAATTTCTCATTATTCATAAAATAATGAGAATTATATTGAAAACTAAATAAATAATATGCAGTGGAGTATCACGTGAAACACTTGTAAAGGTTCTGGAAACATCCATTAGCCTTCATCGATATTATTACTCATGTATTTTAAATATGATGGAGGGTAATGTTTTAAATAGTTCAGGAATCCTATTATTCCATACTCTGCATCTGTAAACAAGTACATTTAATTCATGAGCTCAAAGTAAACAAATGAAACCCATCTCTTGGATAACACATGAATATTTGATTTTGTAAGCTACCATTCACGTAAAACAAGGTAAAATTTCTTTCCTTTAACACATCTAAGTATTCAATTTAAAATCTGAAGCCATACTTACTTCCTACAACAAGACATAAAATAACAACAACACTGTTACTATTCACATCTGACAAACATAGCTACAAAGCTTTATCTACCCATTCCGTAGCTCATTTGCTTGTAGAACAAAATCATCTTCCAGGAGATTTTCTGGATTGTCAAAGTCAAAATCATCATCAAGAGCCGCAACAATATCAGGGTCAAAATCTAGCCGTGGTCCTAGAAAGTTAAAAAAAGCAAACAAAACATAAATATGTAAGTTTCTCTGATGTTACAAAGTGACTTTACTGAATAAAACTCGATCCAACTAGACTGCTAATTTGCACTTAAGGAAATATTAAGCCTAAGAATCACAAAATTCTACAAAATGTAGATTTGATACAAGCCAGGGTTAGTCGCTAGCCTCTTGTCAATATTTCTCATCCAGAAGATAACACTCTCCTGAGGTATCAAGCTTCCATATATGTACTTTAATATATTTTACTTAGAATATTGTAGAATAAAAAATATCCAGGTTAGAAGTACTGCAAGATCAACGGCCAATCCTAGCTCTCACCTCCTAAAATTCCCTACAGTACAAGAGGTCAGCAAGTGTTTCTCTACTGCAATTAGTGTCTTCAGCATCCTTCTGTCAGGACAGGGGGAATCATCACAATTACTTCCTGTTATAAAATATTAAGATAGCTGGAGGGTGAATGTTCAGTGCAAAGATGGTAACGTAACAAAGGCATACTTAGAGCCTGTAACACTGAAATAATACTTATGAAGGAACTAAACAGTACTCAGTCTTGGAGAAGAAATTTTGACAGGAAAAGTCCCATTCCAGATATGGTTTTAAACAGATGGATTAATAAATCAATTAATAAAAATTATTAAACAGTTTTCCTGTTACTAGTTCACATTTGCTACACAATAATAAAAGTCCATGGATTCCACCCTCCTCAAGTAAAGCTAAAAAGCCATTATTAGTAAATCACAGGAATAGATCTCAAGTTGAAACACAAATCACTTACACAATAATTCTTTATTTCTGCTTTTGAGCCTGTTCTAAACCCAAACTAACACGACATTATAATCAAGGCCACAATTACCCTCTAGTACCTAGATGCCAACCCATGGCACAGAAAGGTAGAACATTAACAATACCTGAGACAGGAGCAGCTTTATTTAACAAGCCCACATCCTCTTCAAACTCTGTGGCAAACACCGAGGAAGGCAACTTAATAGATGGAGCCTTAGAAAAAGAAACAAAAATCCAACATCACAATATTCTTGTCCTCAGTTTCACATTAACAAAAATGTGCAATTGATCACGGGACCAAAAGAAACTCTGTGAGCGCTACTTAAATATTAAGACAAGCACCACTTCACTGGTAGCAAGTTTTCAAAGTTATGCAATGGAAGCTAGGTACAGCGTCGGCAGCATTAATTCTCGTGTCAACATTCTCCAGCTACAGCGACAGTATTTTTGCATCTCTGAAGCTTTTTAGAGAACAACTGTATATAAGTTACATATACATAAGTCCCAGAGAATTCAAAAGTTCTAAAAATCTCAAAACATGAGAAAAACACACGACTTGTTCAAACAAATAGCTCTGCAAGCAATCTCTGTCAAGAAAAGCTTGTAATGGTTACAAAAAGTGCTTTAACACTGTGCCAGCAAAACAAAGTTTATCAGTAAGCTTTAGCTTGTCAGCTTTTGTTTTCACTTGCAGGAAAGTTGGACTGTGGGTCTAAAGGATCCCATACAAATACATTTATATCTGTATCTCTCGCCGTCGCAATAACTATAGCTGAATATGATTAATATGTCTAGAGGATGCTAAACTCTAAAGAGCAGTATAAAATTATTATTATTAGCAAAAATACTACTTACTGGGACTCGCTGAATTTCATCTTGTATATGCCCCTCGCTTGTGACAACAATTCTGCTTTGCCGTCCATGCACAGAAGGGACAAGCTCAGAGGGACCAGAGGCTTCTTTTAGATGCTGCAAATAGTCGTAGTCGTCATCAAAGAAGACACCGTACTTCCGCTGCTCTTCCCTCCTTAGCTCCTCATGCCCCTTGGAATTGTAAAAAGAAATATGTTTAGTTACTTAAGTGCGTTTAAAATTTTATAGCAAAAAATAACACATCTGTTGAGGACATCTGAATTCTAAAGTCCTTGTAGTCCTCTCTCCACTCATTATCCCAATGTGCAGCCAAACAGAATCCTGCAACCACCTGGTTCAGTGTTCGTGTGCTGTCTGAGCAGGACCTTAAACAACTTTTTCCATAAGCACCAAAACCAACAAAGCCCGTTTTTCAAGGTGGTTCAGGCAACTTTCGTTGTTTTTTTAATGCCTTTATATCCCTAAAGCCAGATAGTCATCCTTCAAGCCATCAGGTAGTAACTCACAACTATCAAATTCCCTACATCATCCTCTTCTTTTCAACAAGCTGGACTAATACTTACCTTCTCTTCAGATAAATTTCTGAATTGTATGATTGCACACCCACTTTTTGCTCCTGCCTCAGTATAAAAACCTCAGTAATAAAAGCAAGTATTTACTTTCTGTGTTGGCAGCAGAACTCTCTGGGGCGCAGTGTCATCCGCAGCAAGTGGATCCCTCTGACTTCTGTGTACCAAGTGAAATGTTACTGCTTTCTTCTTTTCTATGAAGGGTTTCTTTTTCTTGTGAGGCTGCATAAGGACATTTTATTAATAATTAATAAAAATTAAAATATTATATGCACCCAAAAACAATCTTTTGCCTGAAGCACACCACTGTACATAGTACAATGTATGTAGTACACTGTATGTTCCTTCTAAGGCAACATCTTACAAACGTATACTTGGAGAAAAAGCAAAAAGAGACCAGTAGTAGTTTAACTCTTCCTACCACATGCACAACAGCCATTCCAGATGTTCTAGCATATGGCAATACATTGGCACAATACCAACTTGATTATAGCATATATAGGTTAACATATAATCCTAGAAAGAAATTTTTAAGTAACTACTTTCTAAACACTTGATCAAATGTGAAACAGACTTCATTCAAGAAACACAGGAAACTGACATCAGGGAATTCACCTTGACACACCTACCTTCTTGAAAATTGTTTACCCAGCTGTTGCTACACCAGGAATTCAGCATCAAGTGTTGAAAGTGTTGACTGGCATTACTAGGGTCATAGCTCTAACATAAAAAATGTACATTCTGATTCAACAAAACACTTAAGTATTGTTAACTGGGTGAGAGCCTTTTCTACAAATCAGCACATCTGACTTGGGGAAACACTTTTACCAGAAATTCTAGCCTTACTTAGCAAAACGTGTTAATAACAGATACATAGAACTTGGAAACTACTCGATGGATCCAACCTGCCTTCTTTACCTGGCAACTTTAAGTGCACAACATGCCGCCCTATGTCATACCAAAGTTCCGAACACATCGAGTGCCACCGGCCCGGCCAGCAAAGCGGTCACTGGGTCGTTTCTCCCTCCCAGCGGCGCTACGGAAACGGCCCGATTTCAACCCAAACGCTAGGGGAGAACGGACGGATGCGACGGCTGCCGAGGCGCCCGCGGCC